AAAACTGCTACGATCGTCATTTCATCTTGCCTATAAGACTAATAAGATGATTTGAAGGGTTTGAATAATGATAAGAGTTTTCTTGAATATTTTACAAAAGATAGCATTTATTTTATATTCATTAGAAAAGATTCTGATCTCTAGTGTTTTGTTTTGTAATCTTTGATCAAAAGAACGATTATTCAGAAAATTTTTAAAAAAATGATTAAAGAAAAAGATATCAAAGAAACATGAATATAAGACGAATCTTTCTATGTAGTTAAACCAAGTTGAGAGATAAGATTCCCAGATTCAAATTTTAAACTTCAAATATTCGAAACAATTTAGAAAATATATTAAATGAACATAGAGAATATAACCAATTAATAATTAAATGCAAACTGCTCTATTCAAATTATCGGAATACATTTGTTTATCGAGACAATGATACAAATCACGCTACATCGTCATGTTGATATTGGAAATAATCAATTCAGATAAAATTAATCAAATGAATTTTCCATAGGTTCATCTCGAAAAGGAAAACCATAAGATTGATTATATGTTATTGACATAATCGAAATTTGACTCATTTCGAAGATCAGTCCCTCCGCGTGATCTGTTGTTGATCATCAGAGTTATCACGAGATCATTAAGATTTGGCAGTGAATGTAAAGAATATTTTCATATGAAATAAGCAGAAAGATATTTCTAGAATATTCTGAAATTGTTCTAAACATTCGGTCTACTCGAATCACAAAACACGTAATATTGTTGACGATGAACTTTTTCCTTCAAAATATTTTTGGGCAACTGCCAAATACAACAACATCTTTCTTTTCTTGATTTTTTACAACTTATCTTCGATATTCATTCGAAAATGTCTTATGAGATAGGAATGTGAAACACTTCTAACAATCATTATCTACTCACCATACAATCAATGTTGTCTAAACTCTATTAATGAGGGTGTGGGTGTGGTCGTTAATCTTCCCTTCATTCATACTCACACCCACGCCCTCTCATCGAGCGAGTCCTGTATTTGGGAGTTCTGCCTGGCTTCAATCCTGAAGATAGACAGAATTATCTTCTGAAGTTGCGAGTAATGTGATCTACAATCTTTTGAATGTAGTAATGAACGTCGATATCCTTCTTGATGAATACCAGTGGACCAGGATCATGACACTTAAGCTACTCTATACAATAATTTTCTTTCTATTCTTTGATAATCTCTCGATGTGGACTCTTGAATTCTTTAGATAGCGGCGAATCATTTTTCTGAATAATTCGTTGGAGGTACTACTAATTTGTAGCCTTTGAAATTGCATAGAGCTATGTATTTCCCCAGCCAAACCATTCGAGTTGGCGCTGTATCTTCTACAAGAATTCGCATCTATTTCGATCATCAAATGGTTTTGCGTCAGTGCATTCGCTGTTGTCTCGTTTATTCGTTGAATCCAATTGTCAAGAACCTAATACTCAATGATAGTGAGCTAGGTGATATTGTATTTGATAGTTCAATGGATGATCTCTATTAAGTGAGTAATTGTGGTAGGAGATCAGTCGATGCTCTTCCAGAACTGTAAAATAATCTATCCCTTTGCTTTCAGCGAAGTAGGGTTTCATTGTCGAGATATTTTCTCTCAGAGCACAAATGTTTACGACGATTTGTGATTTGCATAGCTATATATCGACCTTCCTTCATCTTCTACAGAGTTCTCAAACAGTTGGTTATGCAATGGCAAGGTCTTCTGAATCTTACTTTATCTCTTTCACTTAAGATTGCTTAGTTATAAGTTGATACTGAGAAAGGATGAAAAATGATATTTCCAGGAAGAAATGACATGTATTTTTTGCACAATTTGTGATTTGTGTGGATTGTATTTTGAAGCAGTTCTAAATCGGCAATTTGTAGAGCATACAATTCTCTATAAAACTGTCTATTACAATAAGCTTGAGTTCAAATGGGAAAAAAAGACTGTTTAATTTGCAATAGAAAACTTGTTGATACAAATGTCTTTCATCTTTTGCTTTTCGACACTGTCAAACATTTAGTTCATTTCTAATCAATTACGTTTTGAATGACTGAAAAATGAATAAACATTGTGTGTGAAAGATTTTTAGAATATGAATTATGCTGATCATTTTGTTATAAAATTATCAGAAGATGATTTGGATATATTGAATTTATTTTGAAAAGATTTAAATTATTATCTTCTAGTGAATATTAAAGATTTTCTTTGGTTATAAAATTTGATTGAAATATAATAGAATTAGATGAAAGAGTTTCTGATATTATTTTATAAACAAATATAATATGATTATTTATATTGAATATATTTAAACAGAACTGGTAGGAAAATCTTCCAATTATAAAATTTATTTATCAATATTAGATAAAATTTTAAGTATACGATATTCAATATGAGATGTATAAATTATCCTGCAAAGCTCAATACAAAGATAACATACATTCGAAGACATGATTCAAATTAAAAATATTATTTAGATTTTTAATTCTTATTCGTAATAGAGCTATATCTGAGGTTCCGTCTTCTCTTTTGTGATATTAGTCATTCTCTTCATTTTAGTGTGTATTCTGTAATGTGAATAGATATAATTATTTTGAATCTTGGACAGAAAATTAAAGCTGATTGAATTCCGAACTTTGTCGATCAAGGACACTTGTAATGAGGGCTAAGCTCTTGTTACGAGAAGAATGTCTAAATTTAATTTAAAAAAAAAGATGATTCTGTTAAATTAGTACCTAAAAATAACACCATATAAAAGTGAAGTTTTGGAATAATTTCTACCAAACTTTCATCAACAACAAGAACTTCTTAAAAAACAAAAAAAAACTTAATTTTCTGAAAAAAATTTCTTCAAGTGAAAAAGGCATCAAACAAAAAGATTAAGTTTTGATCCCGTTTCAATAATATCAGAAAATTCAAGTGAAACAGTTGTTGAAAAAGCATGTGAAGATGATTGAAAATACATCTAACGACAAAAGTGGAGACATTCAGGAGTGATAATCTTCTTTTTTTTGCAATAGTCACTTTTGAAAGTTAATCAACTGTACCTGATTTTTTTTTTGTTTTCTTTGCTATTTTTTTCTATTTCATGTTGTTTGGGCAATGAACTGATAGTTATCATTAACTATAAATTACAATTTTAAAAAACTAAATTTCACATAAGAAAAGAATGAAATCGAGTTTTTGGAGTCCGATGCAGGTCTCTAATGAATGTCGGTATGGATCATTTGCTAATTAATATCCAGACTTAGAGTCACACAACATTTTTCTGACAACAACAACACTACTAAATAATCTGAAAGTGCTTATCAATTTTACATTCATCGATTTACCTCATGTTTATATGTGAGAAGATATTTTAGGATATCAAATAAACTTCCACTAAACCCAGGCGTGTCCTTAAGTCGTCAGGATGGCGGCTGGGGACCATAATTCAAGAGACCGATTAAAAAATTTTTGCTAAAATTTAACGGATTTCAGAAAGAGGTTAAGCAATTTTTTGAGAATTGGTGAGTGAAAAAATGAAAATTTTTCAAGATTATGGGTGACCCCGAGCCTTCCTGCTGGGGACACTCCTGATTGAGCCTGACTCAATTTCAAAACGTTCCACCGTCCCTACAATAAATGATTCTCCTCAAGACTTGTTTCTATGCAAAGTTTCAAATCGAAATTCGAAAAATTAGTTTTTCTGGTGTTCCTGAGCGAGATCATGGCATTAGATGTCTACAGCAATAACCTATAGACTTGAACTCTTTCCGAAGTATTCATAACTCATTAGAATCTACATTATGTACATAGCCTCAGCTTAAAAGCGGTTCATTTCTTGGCGAATTTCCCTTGTAAACTTGAAAATTTCGTTGAAAGTTTTATAAGAACAAAGGAAACTATTTATTGTAAGTATATAGACTAGAAGACGTCATGGGATAGTTTTCTTCATTCTGTTTTATATGACTCAGGACAGAGCATCAGAAAATTCGTCCTAGCAGGACGATCTTTTCATTGCATTGTCGACAAGAATAAAAACTTGTCTGTATATGAGATACGATGTTAAATATAATAAACATATTATTTATACAAGAACCATTTACAATATGATCATATTGATGTTTGACAGTAGAAATGAAATAAACAATAAAAACAAAAAGGCACTTGACATCCAAAGGGTTAACAAAAATAAAAATAAAACAAACATTAAGATACGAGATTTAAAATGCAATCCGAAAACGGACAAGTTTTCTTTGTTTTTTTGCTTTTTCTTGAATTTCTCATATGAAATAAATACATCGATAATAATTATTTTAAGTATTTAGTATGAAAATTCGATGAATAATGAATATTTTATAATTACAATATATAATATAGTTTTAATCTTCTTGTTTATATTAAAATCATTTTCAATTATATTTTAAATTTCAATTTTTTATCAACTCCACCTACAAATGTTTTTGACATATGATTCTTTCTTAATAACATATGAGTCAATATGATTCATTATTTATTTCCCTAGATATTAGTAATGATTAATATGGATATTTCTATTAGTAAGTAATAATATATTAAGCTTCCTGTGAATTTCCTATTAAGTAATGCCTTTGACATCAGATTTCTTTTGTATAATAATTTATTGAAATATTCCTACTTCAACTCTCTTGAGTATAGAAAAACAGAATAGAAGCAGTTGTGATTTTAAAAAACATCAAAGTTGTAGTAGTCGTGTGTTATTTTTCTTTCTCTGTAATGCACCAAAGCTATATGAATTATTCATCCTGCATTAATATACACTGAAGTTTGAAAGAATAGTATAGGTACATATTTCTTCGAAATTTCTTTTTTTTTTGTATTAAAAAATAAGTTTTACTCGATCTTTAAAAAATGATCCACATAGTATAGAATACTTCGCTATCAGAAAAGCTTATTTTTCACTTTTTATATTATTATCTATTAACATAAAATTCATAATTTTCGATTAACAGTTCACAATAAAGTAGATCATGAACATACAGAGAAAATATCAATTTCATCTGAACAGAAATCTAATGATGAAGATTGTCCATCACTATTTGATGATTTGAAACAATCGAACATAGCACCAATATTACAATTCGAACATTGATTATCTAATGAAAAAAAAGAAACAAGAGAAATTTTAATATTCTTCCTATGAAAAGAAACAAAGTTATTTACATGATTGATAGAGAAAATTAACACGTGCAATTTCTTCATCACTTTGACTAACAACTATAGGAATTTCTATACTTTGATTTCCAGTAGATTGTATAGGACATGGTGGAGTTGTGAATATAATTGTTTTCATGTCTACAAATTCGAAATGAATCCGACGTTTTTTATTTAATGACGAACATCCAAAATATACTTGACATACTAGAAAAGAAAAATCAAAAAATTTAATTAAACAACAATATACAAAATTACTTTTTCTCTTATCAAGTTTCGGAATAATCATTAAAATATCATCACCACCGTTCCAATGACCTTTCGTCGGTACACATCTAACAAATGATTTATTATTATTTATATGTGTTGTTGTATTAGCAGTCATTATATGAGAATATATAGATGTTTCATCATAGATAGAAGGTAATAGATCATCATGTACTAGTTCAGCTAGAGAAAAAAGTAATTGCGATTTTCCTAATTGATAAATATCAATTATTCTTCGAACATCAAGTGGATTATCTGTACATAGAATATCTTTTTCATCTATAGAATAAAAATAAATTAGTATATAAGACTTTTTTTTGTAAAATTTATTTCATTACCTTTATTCAAAGGACATAATTGTCCATAATTTCTTAATTCATGTTGAGTTAATTTTTTACGAATAATTCGAAAACTAAATTTGACAAAATTATTTAGCAAAAAAAACATTTTTATTTTTACATTTTACCTTTTACGATCTTGATTTAATTCTTCTTCTAATATTGGAAAATAAAGTGTATTTCTTTCTATGTCTTTTATAACATTTAATTCTGAAGTATCAATTGGATAAGGATGTATGTATGCCACAGGCACTTGTTCACTACATACGGTGACTAAAGTTACACGAATATATAACCTTGGACTATTCCATTGTTTTGGTATCTAGTTAACAGTCATGTTAGAAATAAATGAAAAAAAAAATCAAAAGATTTTAAATTTTATTTACTTCTATTGTTGGATAGTTCAAATGATTTGAATTATTTTCAGCATGAATATATCGTTGTGATCGATTACGATCACCTATTTCACATGAATATCTTTCACGATATGATGCTTTTGGTTGAGCAATTATACGAAGTGGTACGTTCAATTGCGCCATTGATTCAGATTAAAACTAGAATCTAAATTATACCAAGCGTGCATTTATATTCAAATTAAACACCTGACAAAGCCCCCACTAATAAAATGACTCTATTTCTCCCAACAATATCAAAGTAATAATGCACACCTATTGCATGGAAAAAAACCTTACCTTTATTTTTTCCTTCTTGATAAAAGGTTGAAATTATTCTACTTATATGTAGTAATAATGATTAATCCATTTCATGATTTATTTATACTAGAAAGGAAAAGGCCAAAGCTTCATACTCCAAAGGTAGACTGAAATACGGTGAAGTGTAATATTTTCAATTTTTCTGCATTGATTTCCACGTGTACACTTCGAAATTTTTTTTTACACACAGAACAATAAGGCTATATGTGGCAACAAATGAACAGCACATGAATTTTCGGTCACAACTTTTTCATCTATTGTAGAAAAAATATCTCTTCTTCAAATATAAAATGCATGTTTACTATCAAGAGTGATGAACCTTTACCAATAATTAATTAATATTGATAGTAAGAATTTTTTTTTTAAATCTAAAAAAAATCATTTCTAATCGCTATGAGGATGAGATAGTGAGAAGAATGTCTCTGTCTGTTGATGAAAACATATGTTGCTTAGTTCGATATGTATTCAGTATATGATTCATATGGATCAACTTCATATAAATATACAAAAAGAACAAAAATTCGTTTGCTATGTCACTTACGAGGAAACATTTTCAGGCGTCCCGTTTGTTTTTGAATCAGAACTTAGTACATCTTATAGACCTTAGTAAATTACACTACTCGCAAAAAAAACCTATAGAATGCAATTGAATGATCAATAACTCAGCAAACGTTTAGTGGATCAATCTAACATTTTTAGGAGATGTTTCACAATACAACTTGTTCGAATTCTGAAGTCTCTATTACACAAGCAAATGGAATCATCTTTTTAGCAATGAATGACCATAAGTTGGACTATAATTTCATGTTGAAAGATTGATAATTACTCATATATTATATTAACAAAAACACATGAATAGGTAAACTTTTTTTTTTTGCTATTTTTCTCCCAAAAAACGTGATTGTCTTCATTTGTCAAGGTTTGACTAAGAAAATTGTTTTGGATGGTTTTAGAATTTTATGAAACAATAGAAATCATCCTGTTATTGATATCCATAGAGTTCTTCATGCAAACTTCATATCGAATTACGGTAGATAAGGATACAGTCTCCATAATGTTATAGAAAGATTATGGTTTTAAGACTTTCACACTTTAAATTATTTTGGTGAAGGCATCTAGGTTTTATGGTTTCCTAAGAATTTCGAACTGTCCGAAACGATTCTTCTAGTGAAATCTTGACAAATGACCACATTTGCTTGAATAATGGAGGCTCCAGAGTCCTGATAATTTCGCGAAGGCCATTACTAAAATTTTTAGATGGACCCATCCAATGTATGCTGCGTTATTGATCATTCGATGGTATTCTATGGATTTTTGTATATCGATATTTTCAGTAGAAATAGTTATAATGCAGTGCTATAAAATAAAGGATTGAACAACTTAAAAAGCTTATCCGTTCTCAAGTTACGAGATTCACAGGGACCGTGGATGTCACCTATTAATCTGAAGAAGATACTTTTGGCCAGTAGTGTATGCCTTCCATAAAAAGACTTCGTGACCATGACTTGTTTTTAATGAGATCGAACATTTTTAGTGAATTTCGACAGTAGAATTTCACATTTACAGAAGAGCATATCCGTATAAAGACGTCAGTCAAACTAGCTTCTATAGATAATATATACTGTATGTATTTTTTGAAAGTTTCGTATCTTGAAGAGATATATTGTGAAAAATCTAAAGTGTTTTTATGCAACCTAGTCTAATTGAGATCTTTAAGTGGACAAAGTTTTAGGTCGAAAATCGCAAATGCATGATCAAACAAACTAAATTCACTAGAAACATTTTATTTTCTCAGACATAAACTATTGGTACGAACTCATTTTTTTTTTGTAGATATAGTTCACTAAGATCTACAAAATGCATATGATTCTGTTACGAAATGAAAGTAATAAGAAGGAAAAATTTTATGATTATTTGTTAATTTCTCATATGGTTATTGTGGGTTTAACAAATGATATTATATTACTCTTTATTTACAATTAACGAAAAGCTCACATCTCTTTTTCAAAAACCTACACAATTACTCAAGAAATAGAAAAAAAACAAGTAAACCTTGATAAATATAAGAGTTTTATTATACTATAAATTGAGATTATCAACTCATTCGAATTTATTCGATCCTATTGTGAAAGTATAAGAACTTCTCAAGCGACTAACTCTAAAGATTGAAAAAGATGAATATATGATCGAATGTTGTCTATGTTGAAATCTTTACCTTATATAGATACAGACGCGACGTCACAGCTTAAGATAGTAAACAAGATAGCAAAAAATCAACAAGCATGAAGAGAGAAAAAAATAATCCGGCTGACAAGAAAAAATAGTGAAAAGAATACCTGTATCTCATAAAGGAGACGACAGAAAAGAAAAAAACACCTATATAACATGAAAGAGAAGAAAGAACATACAATGTGAGACAGATAATCATTTATTATATCTAAATAGTTTAAGTTTAGTGAATCAGGTCAAACTGATTGTTTTATTTCGAAAAGTTCGATTTTGGTGTATGCCACCTGGGAGAAGAATGCAGTGGAGTGAAAACATCACAGGGTCAATGTCGGTCACTTTGTCATATATATAAATCTAATTAATTTGTTTTTTAAATATCTTCAATAGTGATAGAAGAACTCAAATCTATTTTTTAATATTTTTTTTTTGTTACCAAATGATTTTGAGTTCTCGAGAAGCATAGAATTATTTATGATCAATCATCCATTTTCTTCACTAAGAAAATCAATTGGTATCATTCTATTATGATATTTAACTGTAAACAACCATAAATACATGTACAAACAAACAAACAAACGAAAAAAACCTTATCTAAACTATTCAAACAATTAAAAATACCAGAAAACAAAAGCTTTGCAACAATACAATTCCATTTTATTTGGAATTGAAACAATACATATTGATGTTGATCTGTATATGCAACATATTATAGATTCTGAGCTTGTGTGAGTGAACCAAGGAGAAATGAGCGGATTTTCTCTTAACTTTTTTGTCAATTTTAAACCAAAAAAAAAACATCCCAAAAGCAATTAATGAAAAAAGTCTAGTTTTCAACGTTTTATATCTTGATCTTAAATATCTTCTTGTAATTTTAGTCATCTAACATATGAAACGATATTGGAAAGAACTTAGATATTAGAAAAGAGAGAGAGATAGACAAGAACCAAGTTTTTGAGATGATTCAGCATGTGATGGATCGATATATCCAACACTTGCATATGCCTTACCTAGTCAAATAAACAACAAGGAAAACAACTCATAAAAAGCGCACATTTTAACACGTTAAAAGTTTTGAATCAGAGATTGAAATGAATAAGAATATCTCGATTCGATTCAAATCGAAGAAAAAACGACAATTCCTTCATTGTCATAAGTATTGACGTCGTCTTTTGTATTTGTTCTTTAATTTCATCTTTTTTCAAGACATTGACTCATCTTCTTTTCTTTTAATGTAAAGACATTTTTTTTTCGATATTCATTTTCGAACAAAGAAGAATAATATGATTATTTTTTCTTTCTCTACTTTGGTATAAATTCTTTTTTTTCTCAATAAAACATTATTCGTTTGTTTATCCGAAAAGTACAAATTATCTAACTATATGCATGTCTTTGTTCTTTATTGCAGTATACAGCATAGATGAAAAATATTTTCTTTTGTTGTTATATTAATAGTTGATCAATATGATCGAAATAATATATTTAAATTTCTCAAACTGAAACTTATTGTATTATTAGTAAAATGGTTTGTTACCATTGTAAGTAATTCATTATCGATGTAGAGATTTAACAAACAAGATAGATGAGTGTTTTTTTCAAGAGAAATTGTTTAGCATAATCTACATGTGCCAATCATAGATGAGGAAATGTAATTGATGCAACATTGGAAAATGGTTGTATATATTTTATGCCTGGATCATATAAACTAAAGCTTACTTACATAGTTAATTATATGCGTTTTTGAAAAATCATCAAAAAATCTGATATGTAGACAAAAGTAAAATTCAATCTTGCTTAGATCAAGTGTAGAAAATATAATTTCATCGAAAAATAAGAATTCTATTATCACGCTCAAATATGTATCATTAAATGAAGAGCTTGAAATCAGATGTTTTTAGGTTGCAGAATGTCGTTATGATACATCGAATAATATACTTACGGAAACAAAAATTGATGAAAATCTTTCTGATATATTCCTTATTTATCCAGATACAGCCTCTGATTTTTTAGTATGTTATAGAGCGCGTCAAGTTACATATGTCCCGGCATTTTTATGATTTGTCGATGTTTTTTGACGAAGTTATAGGATTTCTAGAAACAATTTTCTACTGGAACTTCAGCAGAACGGAAAAAGTATTTTCAAAATATTCTCGCACATTTTTTGACGAACGAGAGAATTGTCATGAAAATGTGTGAAATGTGGCTCAACAGCAGCGAAGATATACGTATTTTATCAGAACATTTTTCGACTCAGGCTGATGGTTATGATCGTTGTATACGATCGTAAACAATAAATTACGACGTCACTTACAACACTATACGCCTAAGATACGAGTGCAGAGTGCCATGCACGACTACCATTAATGATCATGTAGCGCCATATACGTATACGATCATCGTCTATGGTGATCATAAACAATGGCTTGTTTTCCCTCATATATCATCCTAAACAGTCTATTATGGTTTTCAGCTCTTGTCTGAGAAGTTGCAAGACCATTTTGAATAGCCTAAAAAATGGAAACCCTAAAGCATTGAATCGAGAAAATATTTCAGCGCAGATAATAATTGATATATGCGAGGATCTTGACCCAAATTAGAATACACCCAGGCAGTCAAAACCAACAAAAAAAACGCGTTATAATCTTGTTATAAGGCCGTTTTAACGATAAATTGCCATTAAAACGGTGTTATTACAAATTTTGAAACGCGTTTAAACCTGTTAAGAGAGTAGGAACTTGTTAAAACAAGTATATTTATTGAAATTTACACGTTTTTAGCAGTAACTGATTTGCTTCCTTAGACATAATTAAATGTTCAAGCTTTTACAACTGAAAAATACATCTTTAACGATGATTGCTGTGAATAACGGCTTAATTACACATGGATATGGCTCATGATAATAGACATGAAAATAATTTTGGAAGATGGTATTACCATGATAGAGCGATATGTTCATTGAATCAAAATTGTTCGTGTACTTCCTTCGAGTAGATACAAAAGTTTAATAATAATATGAATATTTATTTCCAAAAGAGAATAAAGATATTTAACTTATTCTTTTAACTGTGGAACGACTGCCATAATATGCAGAATTGCTTTATGTGATTAATTAGAAAAGACTAAGTCTAATCATATACCTATTTAATGATTTGCTTTATTCAATCAATTTCTTATCTTCCCTCGGTTCAAGTCAATTGTGGGTGTGGGTATGGTTATTATTATCTTTCTCACGCCTACACCCACCCTCCAAAGAAGTCTTTCAACATTTCTTTTGAAGTTTCTTACAGCAATTGTATAAAGAACACTCTCAACCAACATATTGACTTCTACTACAAAATCGCTTTCGTAAATTTAGATTAGAATTATTAAATTCGTTAGAGACTTTTTACGTTTGTATTAGGTCGTTTTAGCATAATACTTGATAGAGAGGAGTGTCGGGAACATGGAAATTTTGCAAGTCGTGCTAATAATTACCCATCAGCATATCGTTTTAAATTTATTTGTAATACTACCATGAAAACAAAAGTAGACAGATAGGGTTAGTGCAAGAAAAAAGAATTCTTGATAAAATCTTGGTTATCAACAAAATCATATTTGGTAAATCAGATCAAATTTATTAAATAAAGTGAGAATATGAGAAAATGATACCAGTTATTTTTGTCGTATGATTCATAAACTATCAATCAAATATTTTGTAAGTTCAACATTTGCATTTTCCATGAAAAATCCATAGTATCTTGTAAACGTTGACGTTCCTGTTCAACCCTTCTGTTAGCAATCTGCACTATTTCATCGAGACGAGTTTTATAGGCTTTCTCATCTGCATTAGCTTGTTCTAGAACGCGTTCAGCGTCGACTTTGGTCCAACCAGTTATTGAATCGCGCCATTGAGGATCATTGTTCAAGCTTGCTAAATCAAGAGCTCGTTGTGCTAGTTCTTGTTGATTCAATGCGTGCACTAGTGAGTTTGGAACGATTTTGAATCTATGATGTGTATGCTTTTTTCCAAAGCAATTATCACATAAATCAAAGCTTGGCACACATTCTTCACATTGATATCGGGTACCGGTAAATGATGATGTCGAACAACCATCACATATAACATCCAAATGACCATAATTCTGTAAGAGACGTAGCATATTATCACCTGAAGGTAATTTTAAAAATTTATGCACAGAAGGATGAAAACTTCGTGCTTGAGGTAAACACTCATTACACAAGCCAAAAGGACTAGGACATTGCTCACATTTGAAAAAAGTTACTTTGACACTGTTGAAAATTCGATGGCAATAACGGCAATAAACTAGAGCACCTTTCAGATAGCCGTCACTATCAAAAATTGACGAATTTGTCTACAATGTAAGATGATTAATATGAAATCTATTGTCATCTGATTCGATTAGCACGAGAACTTACTTCTTGTTGTCTATGGACTACATTGAACGATACTTTTGCCGATTCTTGTCTGGTTTCATTAGATTTTGATATTTTGTCGAACGTATGATATTGAGCAATTGCTCGATTACGATCAAGTTTCGTGCATGATTTACATAAATAGTGATTAGCACATTGATGACATTTGTAAATTATTGAAGACAATAAAATCTGTTGACCACATGACGTACACAAAGTTGCCATTATTGTTTAATATTAATTACTTGTGCTTTTTTTTCTATAAGCACAACATACAGTCAAATATATATGCTGTATTTAGTAGACGAATGCATGCTCATTTATGTGAAACATTGTGTAATTATGTTATCAGCAATCACAATCAGAAAGTAAAAAGTAAGAAAAATATCGATGTTTTTTTTTTACTGTCGTCACATGTTTGTGACAAACGTCGTCTCGAAATATGAAGTAATACTAGTAAAGAAAATGCTCCAATTGCAATATGGCTACATAGTTTATTTTTATTTTGATTAAAGCATTTCATCCATAAGTAAACAGAAACGAACGAACCGTCTTACTTACAGTCATAGTATGTCACAAAATTTGCACGAAAAAAAAACAATGAATAGCGCTTGAACAGTTCTATGAATTTGTATGAACATTTTATAATTTCCTTCAAATTTTACTCAACATGTTTCAGATGGAGTGTCTGTGTCTATGAGCACTAGAGTCAGAATATTTTTATTGATAGTCTAATTCGAACCATCTACGATGGTAAAAACATTGCTAGTTGAGTTTCACAAAAAATGATTGCATTCGAGAGATATTACAACATTTCGATAAAACTGATATTGTAACAGATTGATCTCCATTTTGAAGACATATTATAACAAGAGAAGAAACATTTTGTGAAATTCATGATGTTTTTGAAATTGTACAACAGAATCAAACTTTGAGCATTTGTAAATGTTTTTCAACACTACAGAATTATAACAGGTCTACGATAGAATTCCAACGCAAAACGAACATTGTATATACCAATCTCTGTACAACACTTCTTGACAAATGGGTTACATCTTTCTCTTTATTCAAATCAATTCAAAAATTTTTCTAGAGTTTGTTGAGACTTCATAATCTCTTCATATAATACGAATAAACTTGGATGATATTTCATGTCGTTTCTGAATTCGTAAAATTTGTTTCATGCAGTTCATTTTTATAGATGTTTCTAAAGATTTTTCGAAACTTATACACTGTTTAATACAAATTGAGTTTTCAGTAAAATGATTCTTTAAGAGTAATCTGAACCGAGGTGTTCGAATCTGTTCTCCATTTGTCTCGAAGTTCTAATGGTGGCCAGCAATCAATACAGTTCAAGATTTGAAAAGGTTGGTCCACCGAAAGCATTCAGATAAAAGAAGTTAGCATCCACTATCTAGATGATTTGAAACATTGGTGGTAGGCAGAACGGCTAATAGAAAGCGAGTTTCCGGAGCAGATGTCCATGAACTCTATTTGAAACAAGAAGCTTGAATCTGCTGTATGAATATGCCTGGTCTCCTCTACAGAGATAGAACAGTTTTATTTCTATCTCTACCTAACGACTAAATCACCAACAGAAAGGAAGCACGCAACTCTATGCTGACAACAAACCGTGTATCGATAGCACGCTTGCAAGTTCAGTGTCGTGAGTAGAAGAAAATTCATCAATTTCGAAATGAGAAAATCATATCCCATGTAAAAAAATAATCGAAAAAATCAGATTTTAATCGATTTTTTTCTGATTAATAATCGATTAAAATGGCACGATTTTAATCAGATTTTAACCCGATTTCTTGATTTTTAATAAATTTTAATCGATTATTCGATTTTTAATCGATTTTAATTGCTGCGACTAAAAACACGCGCTTTTCTCCAGTTTTCACTTAGAAACTTGAATTTTTTATTATTTTTTCTGACTCCTTGCGTCGACAAATGGTAAGTGTAGTACTAGGTCTATCCTTGACACATTTCTATGTATGACATCGATTTACACTCACTCGTGTAAGCCATAATCCCGATATCTTATATTAAAATCGATTAAAGATCAAATAATTGATTTTAATAGATTAAAGATCAAATAATCGATTTTAATCGATTAAAATCTATTAAAATTTGACTAAAGTCAAATAAAATCGATTAAAAATCGAATAATCAATTAAAATTTATTAAAAATCAAGAAATCGGGTTAAAATCTGATTAAAACCGTGCCATTTTAATCGGTTATTAATCAGAAAAAAATCGATAAAAAGCTGGTTTTTCCGGTCATTTTTTTACATGGGATATTCACAATAATGAAAATTTAACAGTGACTTTTGATAAAAAAGCGAAGTATTCCATACACAAATCAATCAAAAAAGAAACAAAATTATAACGGAGTTTGTCAGAAGAAAACGGATAGTGCTTCTTTGACGCCAGTCATGTCACTTATTTGTATGTGGATGTGAATCGACTGTACGCCAACACACATCCACACTCCAAAATAGTACAAAAAGTCAAGAATGAACATATTTATATTGAAGAAAAAAACCCACAATGAATGTATAAAAAATCCTGTTACTCACTGTTGCTATGAAGTATCTTCAATGCATATTTCAATGAAAAATAACTTGAATTTTTTCATAAAGACAAAATAGAGAAATTCCATGAGATAGGAAATTCATCTCATCCGTTTCCTATAGGAATCATATCACTACGAAATGTGCCTGCTATGATTCTAGATATCCTTCAAACTGCTACATCCTTGTAAAGAATTTTTTCAATAAAAAAAGGCTATAATTTAAGTGATCAGTAAAATAGATTAAATGATCAGTACTGAAATTTTTAGTCCGCTCCCCACAGAGTAGAAGATCGCCCCCGAAATCAGTACTGGCTGATTTCCATGCAAGGCTGTATGCACTAAATGTTCTCAACAATATCCGTACAAAACACATCACTGATACACATTGTCATATAAATGAGAGCATTCTTCTATCAAAAACTCTCGATAATTGTGATGTCTTAGTGTTTCAAACAAAGATAGCCAATATACTTGAAGCCGAAAATGTTCTCACATCAGACAGACAACAATGTCAAGATGCTACTTATATATATATATATATACAAATTTATAATTAAAGATAAAAGGATAACACAATTACAATGTGAGAAAAAATATAATAGTTCAAATTATATAACTTTTGTAACATTGTAATTGTGTTATCTTTTTATCTTTAATTGTAAATTTGTACATATGGTTTATTGCGTTTTTCTCTAGTCATTTTCTGATGATGACAATTGATAATTATCGAAAGTTCGAAATGAAAATATATTTTTCATTGAAAATTAATAATATTTTTTGTTGCAGCACTTTACTCAATAATAAATCATATTTTTCTAACTGCATCTTTCTCAAACTATATAATTAGTTCTGTTTATGCTCATTTCATATGAATATGTAGCTCTTGAGTAGAGCTTTCAGATGATATAAGAATGATGGTGATTAATATTAGTTGAGATAGTATCCACAAGTTTATCTTTGGTAGCTCTATGTTTTTTATATGTATTCAGCATAGTTAGAAACATAAAATACATGAAGGACTGGAGTTGAGAACACGAAAAAATTCTGTTGGAGACTTTTTTATCTTCTGAAAAGAAAAAAACTATTAGATGAATAGAAATTTTTTTGAAAAATATGTTAGAGATACTCCATGACAGTTTCCTTCAGATTCGGTCGTTTCCATGATGAAATTGGTTGTTTTCTGAAAAAAACATACGATTTTGTATGTAAACGGCAGAAAAAGGAAAAAAATACATGTAGCGGCAAAAATAGGAACACACTAAAATTCAATGAAGTTTGACATTCTCTCTATTGTTATGCTCCTTCAAAGTAATTAATTAATTCTTTTATTTCAGTTGATGGAGAAGTGTTCAATCTCTTACGGAAAGAAACAACTCTGTACGATGCACATAACTTGAGTTATAAGTAAAATGTTAAAAGCTATTTTTTTCGACAAAATTAGGACCTCTGACTCTACTATTTAAAATAGGTTTTTTTCAAAACAAAAAAAGTGTTTTATAAATGTTTTTCAAAGAGTATAGTTTTTACAGCGGTAGATAGTTATAGGCAAATGCACTAATTTCACAACACTCTCCTGTTTTTTTAAATAGCTTCTGAAAAGAGAGCTAATTACCTCACTTACACAAATCCTTTCATGAAATCTACGCTTTTCTCTTCATGGAAATAATATACATAATTGCGCAGTCTTGTAACATAGCACCAATGAACACAGAATCATCTCATCTTCACTTAATGCGGACTAGTACTATCGCAAAAAGCAAAGCAATATTTTTGCACTGCAAATTTTTCTTCCTTCACATATTGCACACTTTAATTAATATAAAATTGAGCTGCTAGAAACATCCTATTACAAAGATAATAGATAGCGCAAACGTGAAAAAGAAAAGAATGTCGTCGAACGATACTTCTACATCAACCATTGTCCAATTTTATCTCATTGCTAAATATATAAATATTGGATTCGGTTTTACCTTACTCATGGATGGTATTTTCGGAAATCTACTCAACATCGTCGTATTCCTCAAATTGGGTAATTATCAACATAATGCTTGTTCACTTTTCATGCTTGCTCAATCTTTCTTCAATCTGAACCTTCTTATTGTTGGTGTTGGCACTCGAGTTCTTAGTCAAGGTTTTCAAATAGATTTCACGTTGTCAAACAGAATTTGGTGTAAATTTCGCTCTTCTATCGTTGATATCAATGTTCTTAGTTCACTCAGCTGTCTTTGTCTACAATGCATCGATGCATTTGTCTGTACCTCACGATCTGCTATCTGGCGACAGCAGAGTAATATTCGAACGGCTCGATTGATCGTGATCGGATGTGTACTCTTTTGGAGTATCCATCAATTGCCCTATTTGTTTCTACAAGATCTTGTAAATGTTAATGGCAAGTCGGCATGTATGATAACAAATGCTGTCTATACTCAATATCGCACTTACTTCTTGAATTTTGTGCTTTATCTAACACTTCCGGTTTTGGTGAGTAGTTCATTTGCCATTCTCACCTATCGACGTTTTCAATCATTAAAAATATACGAACGTCGTGCACTTTCTACTCTGACAAAACAGATGACGCGAATGGCGTTATTTCAAATTATGATTGTAGTTTTGTTTATGATGCCATATGGTATTGCAACAGCCTATT